TTGTTTTGCGTCTGGTTATCTCTCTTGCGTTTGATGGTGACAAGTGAACTATTCATCATAATTTCACTGCCACCATCGTCATCATGTTTATTTATCAACACTTCTAGCCGTGTCTACATGTGCATACTCGTATACATACATGTATTGGCCACTCGGCGTATCGATTGTTGTTGTTGACATTTGATGTGGTGAATCGGCGTCAACATTTCCAGCGTGAAATGAAAACACAATCAACCAAGCCGATGGCGGTGTCCCGTCCATCGTTGTGGTGTGGTGGCGAATTTCATTCATATTTTTACCTACTTTTAATTTTTATTTTAATACATTATCACATACATACATGTGTAAGTGAGGTGTAAATGTGCATGTAGGTGTTATTTGTAGGTCCATTATGATTTATTTATTTATTTATCTATTAGTTTGCTTCAAGCTTTTTTTTATTTTTTTTTTTTGGATTTTTTTTTTTTTGTNTTTTTTTTTTTTTTTTTTTTTTTTTTTTTTTTTTTTTTTTTTTTTTTTTTTTTTTTTTTTTTTTTTTTTTTTTTGATTTACTACAAGCAGCATCCTTCCACTTTAAAATTGTCGCACTCAAATTTGTATTCGTTTTTATTTTTCTATATTCATCACTTAATATTTCCTCTACAGGTTCATTTTGTTATCTTTATGCATATTTTTTTTTGTATTTTCTATTATTTCTTTGCATTTATTTTAATAACTTTAGCACTTTTCGCTCAAAATTGTGTTGCGACTTTTATGATCATTGTGTGGCAATTTTCTTCTATCGCTTTCCTCATAAATGCTTGTGCAAATGAGACACGAAACATTTGTTCGCCATAATGGGCCACCCATTATTTAGTCTATTTAGAACGTAAAAATTTTATTAATTCATTTTTATTAAAATTCAAATTTACATAGAAAAAATTATTAATGCACAGGCCGGGTCTATTGACCACATGCCGCTGTCGCTTTCTATATTTTGGAGAATTTTTATTCTTATTGATTTTGCAAAGACTGGCAAAAGCTCCTTATCAAGCATCACATAATCCCAAATAATCAGGAGTGTTAAAGAAACCGACGCGGAATGCTTATTTATCGGAATTGAAAATCAATATCTGTTTCAAATGGTGTTATGAAACCAACTTCATTTTGCTTTTTCGAAGATAAGCAAAACCGATGTTCGAATCAGCTGTTTTGCAACCCTTGGATCACTAGGAGTGACACAATTTGGGGCAAATTTAGTTAGACTGGTTCTGGTTCTATTCACCTATTCACAAGGAATTACAAAATTTCACCATAGATCAAACCAAAGTACTTAGGAGTTGTGCTGGACTGCAAGTTGTGTCATAAACATGTAGAAGGAGACTCAATCTAACATAATCTCGCCTTAAAATGGGTTGCAGCAGCTTTTTACCATCATTTTCGACGATAAATCTCCTTTCCTTCAGATGTTTAATTTAATCTAGAGCAGGGAGAAGGAATGTTATGCATGCTCATGCTATGATATTGCGTGGACTCTTGTTTCGTCTCGGGTTTTATGAAATCATTTTATGCAATAGAAGGTGTGACAATAAAGTAATGGGACTGATTATATTGCAGCGATTGTAATAGCCCGGCATCCTTCTCCCCTCCACTGATTGCTCTAGCTTGTTTAGTTCGCCTGCTGTGTCGTGTTGATTAAGCGTGTGTTCGTGGTGCTTTTCACGAAAATTTTGCGCCAAATTGGACGAAACAGCTTCGGAATCGTACGTTCAAATTGTAAAAGTACATGGTAACAGTACTCTTAGTCGTGCCTAGTACTCACAAGGGCTGTCTCCGTACGCTCCCGGCCCGAAAAAAGCTCGCATGAGCAAATTGAAGGTGAAAATTATGATTAATGCCTTTTTTGATAGACGTGGAACCGTCGGCAAAGAATTTCTTCCAGCGGCGGAAACCGTAAATTAAGTCTACTATAATATAAGTACTAAAAAGATTGTGGAAACGAGTCAACAGGGTGCGCTTGTAACTGGTTTCATCACGACAACGCGCCGTGCCACCCCACCCAGTATTTGGCCTCTAAAAGGATCGGCGAGCTGCAACAACCGCCCTTCTTCGCCTGATGACTTTTTTGTTCTCTGGAACCAAATCGGTGGTCAAAACAACTTATTTTAAGTTGATTGAGGACATCCAGGCAGCCGTAACAGTAGTACTCGCGGACAACCCAGTCGAAGCGTTCCAGAAATGTTACGAAGCATGGAAAACGCGCTGGAATCGTTGTGTGGCTGCCCTAGGGGACTACTTTGAAAGAGATGGCGAGTTGTAAAATAATTTTAAATATCTACTCTATTTCACGAATTTTTCTACCTCGCTTTGTAAGTCATGCAAGGAAATGCAAAAATATCTGCCAGAACGTGGATCTGTGAAGAGTATAAAATGATTTCAAAATTTTTAAGAAAAATTATCAATTATTTTCCAGGATTTTCCTCAACAACCTTGGAGAAAGAGCACTGATTTTTTCTTACATTCTTCTCAGAGCACTGGTAAAGGTGCTAACCATTGCAGGTGGTGCAAAATTATTGCGTGTCCTGATACTTAAATTCCCCAATATAAATTGTGTGCATTGTTACACTTCTGTCTGCGTTACACAATCAGAAAACTTCCGGCAGATGACACAAAAGGGTGCGCAAAGAAGATGACATATGGCGTCAATTTGTGGAAACCATTGATGTGTGCCATCATCATCATCATCATAACCCCATAAAAATCGAGAAAAAATCAAAGCAAACAACAACAATGGAAGTGTTGCTGATACAAACACAGCAAAATAATATCTTTCAAGCAACAAACATATATACATTAAACGATATATTTGTATGCTTCACATTTGAAATGATCTAAAAATAGTTTATATGCACAAGTGATTGTCATTTGAGAGATATACTTGTGCTAATTTAAGCACACTCTAAATACATAAAATAAGTGTAAACATATTTGTGTTTGTAGGTATGTATATATCGGTTTTGCTATTTTTGTGGGTTTTGCAAAAAATTAGTCAGCGCGTTTGAGATTTTACGTAAAGACTGAGTTTGCGAAAATTCATGTCTCGGCAGAGAAGGCAGATGTCCTCAATATGGTACAATAATATGTGTGATTCTTAGGTTTGTTAAGAAGATGGGTACCGAAATCGAAATAACATTCAAAAGAACTAGAGACTCCAAAGTATTTCGGAAATGAGGGCGAGTCTTTAAATCCAATCGAATACTTTGACTTATCGAAACTGCACACCTGATTTACGGAGGATGCAAAACAGAAAAAAATAGCCCTAGATGTAACTGCCAAAGAACCCCCACATCCTTTGTCACATTAATAATATATGATATATATATTATTTATATCATGCATATATATATTTAGTAAAAAGTCCGATCGGTTTTTATCTAAGAGATGGCGTTATTGTCCATAGTACCAGTGTTGCGTGTCGCATCATGTCATGCCATACGGTGCTGAGAATGTGTTTATTCGCTCTAAAACTTTGTCTTTGACAGTTTTTCGATTGATTGACTCAGTCCGTTGTGAGCGCTCGTCAAAGATGGACACCAGCAAAGAGAAAATTCGCTATATTTTACAATTTTTTACGATCAAGGCGAAAAAGCAGCGAAAGCGGCTGAAAAAAAAATAACTTAGTTTATGGGCCCGATACTGTAAACGAACGTGTAGTACAAGAATGGTTTGCTAGGATCCGTTCCCGTAATTTCGATGGCAAAGATGCATCAGGTTTTGCTGTGTGTTTGTTGGGATTGGCAAGGAATCATCTGCTACGAGCTGCTCCCCTGTGGCCAGACGCTCAAAACGGCCCTCTACTGCCAACAACCAGACCGCTTGAAGGCAGCACTCATCCAGAAGAGACCATCTTTGATCAACAGAGGCCAAAGTTTTTGGTGATGCGCCAGAAGCTCCAGGAGTTCGGATGGGAGGTCCTAATGCACCCACCTTATAGTCCGGATCTGACACTAAGTGATTACCATCTTTTTCTGTGCGTGGCGAACGCGCTTAATGGTGAGAAGTTAGCCTCAAGAGAGGCCTGTGAAAATTGGATCTCCGAGCTTTTTACCAATAGGGAAGTTGGCATCTCCTTGGCAAGTTTACGAAAAAAACGGCGCATATTTGACTAGAATCGGACAAATGTACTCAATGTTATCATATTTAGAAAAATCAATAAAAAAAAAAAAACCGAACGAACTTTTTACTTGACCTTAAATATATACTTTTTGAACCACGACCTATTTCAGCCATGACATCTTCAATGGCATTCCTAATCGAAAGAATAAAATTGGGAAAAATTGGCTTCCAATCCAAGAAAAATGCGCATAAAATTCGGTCAAATTTACTCGAATTGCAGGAGCTTATGGATCAACTCTAGTACCTTCTCGTCCAGTGCGTCCAGACAAAGATATTGCTGCTGTAGTTCGAAATGTGTGAACAGTCATGGACATCTTTTCGACACCGCTCGCAGTGGATAAACATTTCGTGGACTTCTTTCCCCAGGATTTTGCATAAAGATTTCGATAAAGAAACTTATAAATTCCAATTGATCTAAGAACTAAAGTCTCCATTAAAATTCGATGTAATTTCCCAAACGTAACCATAGAAAATCTAATTAATACGGGAAATGTATGGTTTAAACAGAAAGGCACTACATCGATCCCCCAACCAACAAAAAAAATCGGTATTTTGCTACTGATCGTCTACGAAGAGCCCTTAAGGACAAGTACTACGCCAACCATACAAAGACGATTTATATCTTGGAAACACAAAATAGAAGTCGCCACAATCTAAAATGTGTTGAAAAATTTGGTGGGCATGCTAAAAATAATGGTCCAGCCGCGGCAGCTATATGAATTAACAATGACTACATCATTAACCAGAATGTTTTATCACTTAAAAATATGTATCAGCAGATTTTTCGGGTCCGGCCCCGCTCTAAATATATGCGTCTACCGCATAATATGTTTCATCTCACTTACCATTGCTTATTTTTATGTATCGCATCGTAAATGGGTCCCTCAAAATCCTTCAATACAAAGAAGGTACGCCATTCAAAATCATTGAGAGCGTCCAAGCCATTCTCTGAGGTGATGACAGGAACATTAAAAGAACGAGCCGCCTCTACTGTTTCTTCATCATTGATAATATCGCCAACAAGGCAAATCCGCAAATTATCCGGTGAAGGCGAAGGTGAAATGGACATTTCTGTAAAAAAAAAATCGAAACAAAAATTAAAAAATAAAAACATTAACGTTAAAGTACCAGGAATAATTGTTTGTGTAGAAATGTATGTGTATTTACAACCCGCTTTTCTCATATTATTGACAGCCAAAAGTTTTGGTACTGATCTTCCCTCTACAATAAGAAATAAATTATGAAATTTGCAAACAAACAAGTTCAAATACAAACAACAGTACAATAAAGCAGAAAAAAAAACAAGAATAAAATTGTATGCGATGCTCAATTAAAAGAACGCTAATAGTCACCACCCAACCAAGCGGTCAAGCAGAACGCACCCAGTCGACCGGCAGCTGTTGGCAATACGCACAAGTGCGACGAACAAAATACACATTGCATTAAGTGTGCGCCGTCATACGACCCCTAGACAGTCAAGACAACACGCTATGTTGATGGCAGGCAGGCTGTCAATGTTTTCTACATGCGCTACAACCGAAGATCCTCGCGATACGCCAGAAAGAAATACAAAAAAAAACAGCTGTCTTTAAATGAAAGAAAAAGGGGCAAACGGATTTTGCTCTTCTTCGTTTTCTTCTTCCTCTTCTTCCACTTCTCTATCAATTTGTTTGCCTATTAAAAACATATATTTTTTCGTTTTGCGAATATAGGTTATGTTAGTCCGGGAACTAAATCAGTCAATTTTGCTTCAGTCTCTAAAGGTCCACGCTGCTAGAGACCTCAACATTCTTCTCCAAGCGGGGCATTCTGCATTCTGCAGATGTCATTGAATAAAATAGCCAACCTCTTTGCGTGACTGCCCAATAAAAATATGTATGCTGAGAAACTAGACATTATCAGGCTTATTCTATCGAGGTAACAAAATTTACCTAGGTATTAAAATTTACCATTCAGTAAATTTTGTTACCATTTCGTACTCTGAGCTCACTGTTTCCTTGTAAATTTTGTTACCAGCGAGATGGGAGACAACAAAAATATCTGCTGTTTGATTTTGTGTTGTTAGTTTGAGAAAAAATAAAAACCAAAATGGAATTCATTGAAGATGAAGAAAAAAGTGCAAAAAGCCGTATTTTAAAAAGTTTTCGAGACTAAAAAATAGCCCTTTAATTTGTAAGATAACATTTTCATTCAGCTTTTTTGTTGTCCAGGCATATTTTCCATAATTAGGTTCAAAAATATTTATGATTTAATTAAGAAATTTATAAAACTTTTTAATTTTTTTGTGCACCGTTTTCCATTTCGATGTGAATATTTTTCTTTTTACTTTATCAACTGGCAAATGTAATTTGACATGGACGAAAAAAGCAGTGCTGCCAAATTTTTTTCAAACATTGTAACCAGTTCCCCAGAATACCAAATTCAATTTCGGGTGTTAAAGAAAAGTAACAAAATTTACTTTACCTGTAACAGTGAGAATAGGCCTGTATATATAGATATTTCCTTTCTTTTTAGTGCGATAAGCTTTCGTTACTTTCTGGGCACATTATCCCGGTCACACTGAAACCCTTAAGACCATCAAAAATTAGTATACGACATGAGTAACTCTTTTATAGTGGGCTCGTTGCAAAAGACCTATGATTTTTAATAAACCCATAAAAAGAAATATAATTGAAGTGCTTCTTGGGCTGGTTGACGAAGTGAAAGCACCATGACCTAGAATCGATATCGTGCAAAGAGAAGAAGTCTCTCTTTACTACTAACAACATGACCAAAATAAAATCATTCTGGACGTGAGAGCTTCAATACAATTACTATCCGGATATGTCTCCTACATTTAGTAACCTTAATATTCACGCGTTTTCTTAAAGGAATAAAATTCCTTTTAGATGTCGTCCTATCAGAAAATGGTCTATTAGAACCCGATCTTACCCATTTGCTTTACTTGCATAGACACCGCTAACGCGATTATAGACGAGTTAAAAACATTGCGCCATTCATTTCTTCTTTTTGCTGTTTGGCGCCAATTGGAAATACCAAATACACAAGGAGGAGATCTTCCTCTGCTTCCACCGGCCATTCAAAAACTTTCAAAGCTGGAGTATTCGTATCCATCCGGACCACATGACCTCGCCAGCGTAGCCGTACAGCTCATCGTTCCATTGTCTGCGAATTTCACCGTTGCCAATGCGCAAAAGATATTGTCATCATCCATGCTTCCGCACCATATAGCAGGACGGGAACGATGAGGGACTTGTAAAGTTTGGTTTTCGTTCATCGGGAGAGGGCCTTACTTTTCAATTGCCTACTCAGTCCAAAGTAGCAACTGTTGGCAAGAGTGATTTCAAGGCTGACGTTATTATTGGTGTTAATGCTGGTTCCTGGATAGACGAAATTATCTACAACCTCGAAATCATGACTGTCAACTGTGACGTGAGGGCCGAGTCGCGAATGCGATGGCTGATTGTTTGATGACAACAGATATTTCGTGTTGTTCTCGTTCACTACCAGACCCATCCATATCATTCGCTTCCTTATCCAGTCTGGAGAAAGCAGAACTCACAGTGCGGTTGTTAAGGCTGATAATGTCAATATCATCGGCGTACGCCAGCAGCTGTACACTCTTATAGAATATTGTACCTTATTATTTCCTCCAGCAATAAGTTGAAAAAGTCACACGATAAGGAATCACTCTGTCTGAAACCTGGTTTGGTATCGAACGGTTCGGAGCAGTCCTGCCTGATCCTGACAGAGCTTTTAGTGTTGCTTGACGTCAGTTTACACATCCGTATAAGTTTTGCAGTGATACCAAATTCAGACATAGAAGCTTTAAGGTAGCTCCTATTCGAGCTGTCGAAGGCTGCTCTAAAGTCAACGAAAAAGTGGTGTAAGTCGATCCTCTTTTCACGGGTCTTTTCCAAGATTTGCCGCATGGTGAATATCTCGTCAATGGTTGATTTACCCGGTCTCCAGCCACACTGATAAGGTCCCCATCAGTTTGTTGACGATGAGCTATAGGCTTTCATATAATACGTACCTGAATTCATCTCAAACAATTTAGTCATCAAAGATTAAAGTTCATTCTTCGATTTGGCTTAGGTGATGTACATACGAAAATGGAAAGAAATAATTTTTTTCATTGGGTCTATCCTCAAATACTTGGCGCCAAAAATGACACTTATATATGTGTACATACATACAGAAGTTCATAAAAAAACACGCATCAAATTATGCTCACAAAGGTATTTTGGACGGCATTCTTTATTCATTTATTTTCTAATTTGTTCGCACGTTTCGTTCTCGTTTCACGCTTTCGCTGATTTTCATTTTACATTTTAGTTTATTTTTTTTTCTTTATATTTTATTGTTGTTATTGGCTTTTCTTCTCTTTAAATTTCTCGAATCGGTGGCATTTTGCTTCCACCACTTGTGCTACAAATAATTTAAATTTCATTTTTATTTTATTGCTATTATTGATATTATTATAGTTGTTGTTGCATGTTGTTATTATCTGTTGTTATTGTAGTTGAAATCTCTGTTGTTGTTGTATGCACAATGGGAACTTGGCAATTGGTTCGTTTCATTCGCTTTTCTCCCTCAACGCATTTCGCGCAAAACAACTTGAGAATTTAAATTGTTATAGTTTGTACAAATGTACGTATGTACATATTTGTATGTATGTATGTATGCCAATTATGTATGAATATAAAAATGAAGAAGCGCGCATACAAAACAGTTTGCATAATCATTTGTCTTCAATTAAATAGTTTCAAAAATTTATTGACTTACAAACATACAGCTGCGCCAAGGAATTTCAAGAGGCGTATGAGTGCAAACATGTTTTCCAAGCCCAAAGAAATACTGGCCACACTTTTGAGCTGGGAAGTCAAATTTTAGGAATTATTCATCGACGGAATAAGATTTAGTGTCAATGAAAGACTTCCTTGAGGTTACTAAAATTGTTTATAACAAATACCAGCGGACCCGACGAACTTTGCCTCACTACAAAATTCCATGTCGTTGGATTAACTCTAGAGCTATAGAAATGTAAATCTATATATAGATAGTGAAATTTTGAAGAATTCGATTTGAATGGACTTAGTTCTAGTGGAAAATGGTAGTAGACGACTAGCTTTTCGGCCAACACGCAAACAGGCAACATAGACTGCCCATGCACAAATAATGGGCACATCCCTTTCATTTTCTTATTTATGGCGTCTAAAAGAACGCAATCAACCCTCCCTGAAAAATAACTCAGTCGTTTCTTAAAAGAAAAAATTCAAGCAAAACCGAACCATAAAAACGGTTATTTCGAGTTCATCCGTGTCAGATCCACTACTCGAAAAGAAAAGAACTTCAAGCGTGTTAATCGATAAGCGATAAACAAACAATTCATTAAACTTTAAGTGAGTCGATTTAGAAATAAGAAAATACTTCAAAAGTTCTAAGATTGTATTGACCATTATCTACTTTTGAAACATGAAAGGTGTCCGAGTTTGAATCACCATCACGTTGTGCGGCTGTTAAGCGATGAATTTTCGTAAATGCCTGACTTTCCAGTGGAAGAAAAAATGTTAGGCTTGACTGCCCTGTATTTTATCCCTCGAACTGTATATACCTATGTATTAGATATAGATGATATGTGCGTATGGTCTCCGAGGGGGCAATTGAACTCTCCATTGTACACCAAGACCTTATTTAAATACCCCTCACCTCAGTATAGAGGGAATATAAATTTTCTTCCTGAAATCGACTCATTTTGATATCTGCCTTTATATTTAAAAATTAAAGCTACGTTTCTTTTTAATTTTATAACTCGAGAACGAGCTCACCCGTCCCAACCAAATATTTAGGCTTGGTTCGGACTATTTAGCAGATGTTTTATGGGAAGTTTGCATAAAATCGGTAGAGCGATTCTTCATTTATCAGACCTTATCTATAAAAATCGTATGTCTGTAATCAACAAAAATTTCCAAAAGTTTTGACCGATTGATTTGAAATTTCATCAAATTGTTTCTATGATTCCTCGGAAGGATTTACTAAACAAAAAATTCGGGAAGTGGACCAGGGAC